GATATTTACTCTCCAGCTGCATCTACAGAATGGACTGCAGAAGACTATCAGTGATCTTTAATTAAGTCCTGTGGTACCAAGAGCCGTTTTAATCAAAGAGATAGCCAAATACTTTTTGTCAGGGGGAGATTAAGTGAACACTTAATAGCAATTGTCACCATCAATTACCAAAAATAAAATTAATTTAGATTGGTCAGAGGCCTTTAGGTGACTTTGAAGCTGACTAAAATGACAACTGCCCTCTTGGAAAATCAGCTGGTGTAAAACCCCAGAGGTGGAAGAAACTCAAGAGGCTAGATAGAACCAGACTGTGAAGGAGAGGAGTGTGTATTTGAGCTTACAAAGATTATAGGTGGTTGACAGGAAGCCCTTTGGAGGCCTGGCTCAGTGAAGGATGGCTCATTGTTTCCCGCTTTAGGTCAAAGCTGGTTCTGTGAAGCAGGAGTTTGAGAAGCAAGATGAACTGAAGCGCTCTGCAATGAGGGCAGTGGCCGCCTTGCTGACCATCCCAGAAGTGGGGAAAAGCCCCATCATGGCTGACTTCTCTTCCCAAATCAGATCCAACCCTGAACTTGCTGTCCTCTTTGAAAGCATCCAGAAGGATTCTGCTTCAGTCCCCAGCACAGATTCAATGGAACTCAGCTAGTCAGCCCCCAAATGGGCGCCTCCTCAAGAGAAAGGCATCCTCCCAAGGCTGAGGCCTCACCTTCCCACCACCAAAGGCCACAGGCCTTTACTTATGTCCTTTCTTGATCTCCCTGGGGGCCCTCCTGCTCCTGTTCAGAGCTTACAGTGCCTTCACCAGGGACCCCAACACATAGGCCCCAAGCTGAAGCTCCAAGGCTGCCAAAAGTTGGGCCCTTTTAACTCAGGATAGTAATTCAAAGCAACAGGACATAATTTTCCAGGCCTCCCACACAAAGATTGATGTGACTTCACACTGGTCTGTCTGGTTATTTTAAGCTGGCAAGTCCCTGCCTCACAGAGCACTTAACATTGATGTCGTCTCATGCTCACAGCTGCTGGGAGGCAGCAGGCTGGCCTGCCTTCCCACTAGTGTCCCAGATTTGTCACTAATTTCACTTTTTCAATTCACTTGATTTGATCATCTGCCAAAAATTAGTGCTTTGGCTGGGTATCTTAAAAACTCAGGTACTTCTGAGTTAGTCACATTTTAGAATTAAAAAAATGCTTTTTCATTGGCAGTGATGAATCAGAAATCTTGTTTTCTTGCAGGGGGAGGGGGTGGGTAGGGAATTAGGGCTAATGTGTTTCTTTAATTTATGTGGCAAACAGGGAAACAGGAAAGCATGTAAGTACAAACCATCTTTCATGCCACCACACCTAGGCATAACCAGTTGGTCTGTCCTAAGGAAAGTTTTGAACATGTAGTTTTTAGTATTGAGGACAGAGAATTAAGTGACAAGCAAAAGAATTTTGTGCTAGGTTAATAAAAGATCCTAAATTGTAACTATTTTCTCTGCATAATTCCTCTACTTAGTAGTCACCCCAGTATCAGTATGTCCCAAGTCAACCTAGTCATGAAAATGACCAACAACTTATTCAACGAATGTTTCAGACTAGGTTTTGAACAGGAGGCAGTCAAGCTGTGAGAAAGGCACTTACTGGAACTAAGGGCCTGAAATCCAGCCATGGCTAGCATACCAAAAAAATTTTAACTAATTTTTGTTGCACTGACCAGGATAGGGTGGGGGGGAACACCCTATAAGCATGCCTTGCACTAGAGGACCACATACCATATCCCATGTGACCTGTACTGCCACTTAATACCACTTCTTGGGTATCATAACCTTAAAATTAAAAACTAAATTCTAGCTATTGTTGCTTGGGTTTAGGATTGTAGTTAAATTCTGAGTCCCAAGAGGCCCCATTATCACCATTTAAGGATCCCACACTTTTAGAAACAAAAGCAGTAGGCTGGGGGAGGTCATGTAAGGGAGATTGAAAGCAATCTTCAAACATCCAAGGCTGATCATGCATAGATGTCATCAGTTGGGTATTTTTGGACAGAAGATGGTGCTATTTCAGTACCAGTAAGAATTTACGGGAGTAAGAAAGAAATTTACCTGGATCCTTTCATGCACATTTTCTCATCTCAATCTTCACAAAAACCACACAGGGTAACTGTCATCCAACTTTACAAAAATGAGGCTAAGCACAACTTGCTCCAAGCTGTAAGTAAGGCCCTTAAATCAAGGGTCTTATAACCTACCTTGTTAGGAGGGCCAAGTCTCCTCCAGCCCCACCTGGAGCTGATCAAGGCTCATGTGGGCACCTGAGGCCTGTGCCCTGTGAAGCATCAAGTATCCTTTTATAAACCTCTTCCAAGTGGAAGATTCCAGAGCATTAACAGGCAAAAGAACGAGCTATGTGATAAGCTGTCAAACTGAAGAGTAAAACCGAGGGTGGAAATGCCAGATGGTAGAATTTTATGGTTTTATTAACACAAATACAATGTGCACACAAGCTGTCTATTCATTTTCTTCGCTGCGCAGCCTGGCATTTGGATTGGTGACTCTGATAGCCAGTTGGGCTGCTCTTTCCACAATGGCTTTGCGGTTCTTTGAGGAGACGTTGTGAGCAATCTCAGCACAGTAAGATCTGGAAGAGAATCCGAAAGTGGGTAAGGAGCAAGTGGGAAGGCAATACGCTTTGGTCACTTCACCTCCAGTGCCATGGCACTGAGAAAAGCTGCTGCTGAATGACACCTGCATGCCCCTCCAATTTCATGGTACTAGCAAGGCTCTTAAAGTGGTTCCTAGCATCAACAAAAAGCACCCTCTGAACCCTCATTTAATCCTTTCAGCAGCCTTGTAATCCAGGTATCACCTACATTTCAGAGACAAGGAAGCCAACTTCCACAATTCCCAAACCATATATTCAGTAATGGACAAGGCCAGGATAGCTCGGCCCAACTCCAAGTTCAGAGTTTCTGGCCTGTCTGTCCAACTCAGGGCAGTCTCAGGGAGCCTGGACTTGCTTCTGAAAGTTTTGGAATTCTGCAAAGTAGTAGAGCATACTTCAACAGTCTGGTTAAGCCAAGGGCTCCCTGGCCCGGATCATAAACATTTTACATGTTTGACTGCTGTAGATATAAAGTAGAAAGTAACATTGCTTCAAGTCAGCCAGTGAGTAAGCAACACTAACATTTCCTGAGCACATGTGTGCCAGGAACGGTTCTCTTCTGTTCCTCAAAGCTATACCATGCCCCGATCTGATAACAAATTGGCCTAATAAACACATTTCAGTAAGGAGGTGTTTTATGAAGCCATTAATTGTGGATTAAGACAGTCTACCCCTGAAAGAATTTCAGCAGAAAGAAGACTGTACATATTATACATACTTTCCCCTCTGCTTGGGCATTTTCCATACATGACATTTATTATGTATGCGTTAACATTCCACTCAGTGCTATACTCACCATTCACCAATCATATTTCTAACTGTTCAGCTACTGCTGCAATGATCAGCATATGAAGTTTCCCAGCGTTTTAATTATTTAAGGACAAATGCCCAGAAATGGAACTTGTGGGTTAAAAGTCACAGATTCACAGTATGTCTATGGCTCTTGATACAAACTGCCAAGCTATTAAAAAAAGAGTATATGGCAACCAGCAACATTTGCACCACAATCATCATTTGCTTAAACAGGCATTAAATTACATCTTTCTGTCATAATTCTCTATCAACCTGCTTAGTGCAGTTTGGGGATCCACCATTAATTCCTACGCTCCTCCTTTCTAAAGAAAATTTCCAGCATTTCAATGCTTGGTTAAATTTCCAGCCTAGAAACTCAACCAAAAATGGTTTCATTTTTATTACTTGTGTCTACAATCATTACAGCCAAAAAGGTCTCTGTAAACATGCACACACCCAGATGTGACCTGTTAGTTGCCCTCTCTCCATATCCTAATTTAGGAAAATGCAGGGATTTAGCTTGTTTAACAAGAAAGAAAATAAACTGTCCTCTCCTTAACCAAAAAATAACAATCCCTCTTATCCAGATTCAAAGTGTCTATATCACTTACCACAAGGAATCTTTCCTCAACCCACTGCCCTAGTTTTGGCCTAAGCAGACTGAAAGTCTTACACAGAGTTCACCAAATGTCTGACTTTCTCAAAACAATGAGAAAGTTAATGCTGTGACCCCTCTATATGCTCTTGGATGTCTATAACTTTGTGTAAGCGCCCTCTTTGCCTGCAGTCCTACTTTTCTCCACCTCAGGTCACACTGAGTTCTAAATCAGGCAGCAACCCCTCCATTCTTGTAGCATTCTGAAGATACCCATGATTTAAGTGCCCCTTAGGTCTGAGGCTACATTTGATCTCCCCCTCCCAACTCCCACATAAATAAAGCAATGTTCTGGAAACAACTGCCAAAAGGACACTGCAGTGTTTGTACTGTCAAGCAAAGTCCTCCCCTTTCCAGGTCTTATGTTTCTATGCTTTTCAGAAGTAATCTTCTGTCCCCAACCCCAGCAAAAGAAACATTTTAAAGTCCTTAACAAACATTTGCTAAGCTCCTGAGAGAATGTACAACTCCTCCAAATGCATTCTAAAAGGTCTAGAGTCCCTATTAAAAATTATCACAAATGCAGACTTCTGACACCTGAACCCAGAGGTGGGATCCAACTCACTTGTTGCACATCAGCAGCACTTCAAGCTCCTTAACATTGTGGACCAGGAACTTCCGAAAGCCACTGGGCAGCATGTGCTTTGTTTTCTTGTTACTCCCATAACCAATGTTGGGCATCAAGATCTGGCCCTTGAATCTTCTGCGCACTCTATTGTCAATGCCTCTGGGTTTCCGCCAGTTACGCTAAAAGAACACACACAGGTGGGTTAGTGTCTGTGCATGCTGCCAAGTCTTCCTTTTAGAGGTAAAAAAGGGGACCAAATGAAAAGGTAACATGCCAAACAGTTGTCTTTGGGTAATAGGATTTCACAACTTCTTTGTATTTTTTTGGTGGAAAAAAATAGGGGATCCTGCATTTGACCACCAGAAATAGACCCACATCCACATTCCTTTTAAGCAAAGGAAAAGCAGATTACATACCAGTAGAATGTGAGGGGATTGTGTACAGCAGGGGTCCCCAACCCCCAGGGCCATAGACCAGTACCAGTCTGTGGCCTGTTAGGAACTGGGCCACACAGCAGGAGGTGACAGGCAAGTGACTGAAGAAGCTTCGTCTGTAGCCACTCCCCAGTACCAGCATCACTGCCTCAGTTCCACCTCAGATCATCAGGTATTAGATTCTCATAGGAGCACTGGTTTGTGGTGCCAAAAAGTTTGGGGACTGCTGGTATAGAGTAAGATGAAGAACGTGGGTTTTGACATCACACTCAAGACCTAAGGTTTCTCACCCATAAAATAAGGATAACATATCTCTTCTACCATTCTAAAGCCACCTGAAGTATGATACAACTACAGGCCTCCAGACACCTCACAACAGCCAAGTGTCCCTTGTCATTTAAATTTCAACTTACGCAGCAAGGGACTGAGTGCCATTAAGGCATATTCAGGAACACCTGGGCTTCCACAGTGTGCTCTTCCACCAACCAGTCTGGTTTATCTGCCAAACATTACCTTCCAACTTGGTAATGTCAGAAATCCAAATCTTATTTAGGAATCCCTTTCCTCATCCCAACACACTTGCAACACAGACCATTTACCTTAATTTTGACATATCGGTCTGACTGGTGCCGGATAAACTTCTTGGTCCTCTTTTTGACAATCTTGGGCTTCACGAGGGGTCTGAGGGCAGCCATGATGCCTTTAAAAAAAAAAGAGAGACAGAGACCGTGAGAGAAAGAGTAACACTAGAATGAGGCTTTCTTGCCCAGGGCTTAAGCGTTGTTGCAGAGTGTCTTCCAATCACCAGCTACTGAGCAAGCGGGGAATGGAATGGGTACCTCTGCCAGGCTTGTTTTCCCTCCCATCTCCGAAGCTGGAAGAATATAAGCCACTCTCCAGATGCGATCCTGGGAGGTAAGAAGTCACCTCACCCGCTCAAAACCAAGAATGAATGCCAACAGCTGACCTAAAATAAATTGACCCCCAGTCTCAGCTTGCAAAAAACAGCAAATCTCACTCCACAAAGTGTCTCAACCCTCAAATGGGCCAAATTTCTTTTTGGTTACATGGGCTTTGGGCAAGCTCCATAAACCCGAGTCTGTTTTCTCATCTGTAAAATGGAAACGATATTGTACATTGAATAAATGAGGTGCCCAGACCAAAGTAAATGTACAGCAAAGAAACTTATATTCCCCCTATAGAGTGCTGCCAGACTACAATACGCTCAAAAAATATACAAAAACATGACATACTTCTAAAACGTCTCTGGGCCTTCGAACAAACTGCTTTACCTGGAGATCTACTCGAAAGTTACCCTCCTTCGAGGTGTCCTCGGCTACCCTTTTTTCCTACGGCAGCACCCCGTTTTCTTCACAGCAACCAATTTGTTTCGCACACAGCAGGCACTCAATAAACTCATGACTTTCCCCCACTGGTACCATGACTTCCTCAAAAACAAGGACGCAGTTTCATATTCCCAAGGATCCTGATCAGCTATCAGAATTTTTGTACACTGATACGAGTCAACACTCGTAGCTCATTTTTGGGGGAAAGGAGAGCGGCCAGCCAGGGCCAGATACTGGAGGGGAGGGGAGCGTCGGACATCAGATGCAGAAAAATACACGTGAGCAAATACCGCTGACCGAAATGATCCCATGATTCGAGCCCAGGCCGGTCAAGCCGCAACCCGCGGATTCCTCCACGATCCCCAGAAACCCTCTTAATCTAGCCTCAACGGCGGCCTGCGACCCCAGGCCTCAAAAGGGCTGTCCGCAGCTTAGACTGACCCCAGACGGCCTCCATAGGAGCACAAGAGGGCCCGGTAAGCGATCCTTCATCACCGGCTGGGTCACTTCGTCTATTCCTGTACACGCTCCAGCCAGGCGACAAGGACAATACCCACCGAGAAGACCGCTCGGAAGGGCGGGCCTCCTCACCAGGGGGCGATGGGAGCTGATGGAGACTGCAGAGACGCAGATGACCAACGATTAAGACTCACCAAATAGGAGATGGCTGCCACCTCCGTAGAAGCGCCGAGGAAGAGAAGGGAAAGTGGCGCGCGAGAGCTGACGGGACTTAACCTCTGGGTCCTAGCTGGGAAGAGGCGAGAACTTCCGGCTGTTGGTTGTTCGAAGAAAATAAACGTCAGAGAAATAATACTGAAAAAATGCCGAGAGATACTCGTTGTTTTTTGGACATTAATTTCTAAGAGTAGTACTGAGAATGTTTTATATCTTCCCGTTAGGACTATGTAGACTATTTGGAATTCTTTCTGAGCTTCTAAGACCTGGCGGGCGAGCATCCACTTCCGCCAGAAGTTGAAGCCGCTCCTCCACCTCCAGCTTTTAGATTATTTTCGTCCTCGTGTCTTCTGCTTCAAAGCGCGCCAACTAGTGGCCAGGAGGGAACAAAACAGAGATTTCCTAATAATTCCCTCGCGAGAATTTATAAATAGCAATAAGACTATGTATAACAGCTATCATTCAATGGGTTTACTTTTCTTCCCACAATTCTATGATGTATGCCTATTATTTTCCCCATTTTGCATATCTAGAATCTGACGTTTGGAGATCTGACTCCCAAATCCACACTTCTAGCCATTATGCAAAACTGCCTAGTTTTTCATTGTTCTTGGTTCATTTTGCTTAGCTTTTGCTTTTAAAACCTAATGGGTTTTTTTGTTGTTGTTGTTTGTTTTGATTTCCGAAAATCGAATTTCAGGAGGGAAAAAAATGTTCTTTGATTCCACAATACTGATGTCATCAGTGCTCTTGATAGGAGTAATTCCAGGGGCCAGATAGAGACAAAAGCTAAATTGGATTGTGTTGTTAACTGAATGAGAAATGAGAAGGGTGGGAGCGAATGTTAACTCTTTCATGACGTTTTGACTGTGAAGGGGAGTTTGAGGAGAGCCAGAGAAAAGTGAAATGTGAAGTGAAATGTCTTGTCCCAGGTCAAATGGCAGGTAAGCAATAGAGTTGAGACTAAAACCCCTTTGAGTCTGTGACTGCACCACACCTCATGAATCCTATTTATCCTTCAGACTGTGGGAAGTCAGATGAGAGCACGGGGGCACTGTGTTAATAGCTGCCCATAAAATGTGGGTCATGAAGGAAAAGGTCTTGATGGAGTCAGATCCATTAATCAGGTGAAAGGCTCATGAAGCAAACAGCAAATAGCAAGAGACCCAAGATACTTGGAAGTAGTGACCCAAATAGCTCAGGTTTTTTTTGCGGAGGGGGGGGGGGTAGCGGTGAGAGACATGTTTCAGAGGAGGGCACAGGGCTCCCCACAGTGCCTGATGCTTCCCTGTGGGCCCTGAGATCCCAGGGAATGTGCCTGCTATATTACCTCAGGCTCAGGACCCCAGATTTCAAAACACGTGAGCAAGAAATCACATCAGCTGAATCACAGGTGACATGAGAAAAAAACTCCAACCTGGTTTATTTTAAATACTCAAAAACTGCACGTCTTTTTGTGGATACATCTGCCTCTGAGACCCTAGACACTTTTGCTCTAGAGAGAGTTGGCCTAGGCCACCTCACTGAAATGACTTCTTTTGTCTGGTTGACACTCCTCTTTGTCTATGGCTCTGGGCTGCTAGCCACATTGGTCCCCAGCCCCAGGATGGCTAGGTGTGACAACACCTGGACCACACTAGTTGATGTGGTAGACCTTGGGGGCATCGTAATAGGCACAAGTCAAGTAGTTCATATTCTTAATGGGCCACCAGTGGTTAGGATGGTAGGTGGCTGAGTAGGCATGGGGCCGGTGTTGGACACAACTGAAGAGCGCCAGGCTCCTATCTGTGGTCACAGTAGGCAGGTAGATCTGCAGCTTGTCAAGGAGGTGACCTGGCCAGAAGAAATTGGGGTGGGTTTGCTGTGGACCACTGGGCCTCTTCGCCTTCAGCTTTCTAGAAAATGAGAAGACACAGAGAATGTTGTTATGGTGGACATGCCAGGGCCAGGGCTCCTCAGCAGAGCAAACGAACTGTGACCACAGTAGAGGTGTAACATTATGCTAAGTGCTTCACTATCTCAGTCTTCACTACCGTTCCATGTGGTAGGTTCTCTTAACCTGTCTACCTTACCAGTGAGGATCCAGAGGCCTAGAGAGGGTAAGTCATTTCCCCAAAGCTACACAGTGACCAAGTGGCAGAGTGTAGGCTTGATTCCCAACCTGCTTCCTCTAAAACCCAAACTCTTAAGTGTATACCATCTGTTCTCTAGAGCATTTTATTGTGGTGTTCAGAGTACATCCTCTGGAGCCAGCATAACTAGATTCAAATCTCTGTTCTACCACTTTAATAGATGTGTGATTCTAAGCAAGATAATTAACTTTTCTGTACTTCAGTATCCTCTTCTGTAAATTGGGTATGTTAAGAGTAACTTCATAGGGTCATTGAGAAGATTTAAATGCGTTAACATATAGAAAGGACCCAGAGCAGTGTCTGCCTGGCACTCTAAGTTGTTTACTGCCTCTCAGCTTCTGAACACTAAGCCCCAGATGCTGTGCTAAGAGTACCATGGAACATGCAGAGTCCCAGGCAACTCCTCCAAAGTGAAGCTAGACTTCCTCACACCCACTCCCCTTTCCAGAGTTAGATGATTGCTACAGACCTGGTGAATTCCTCGAATTCCTTAAAACGTATTTTCTTGATTTTCTTTGGTAGTTTCCTAGTGGATAAGAGAGGGAAGTTATCGTGTCAGGAGAGGGGAAATCAAAGTTAATGGGGTCCCAGGGAGTAGGTTGGGGTCCACAGGAGTGGGCTCATCTCTGAGTCCAAACTAGAGCTTTGGAAGGAGAATTTCTTGTACTTGGGGTGGAGCTTTGTCTCTGTCCGCCCCCTCCCTGCCCAGGCTCCAGTGGAACATACAGTGGGCTTGAGTCAGCCAGACCTGGCTCATAATCTGGCTGGCTGGGTGACTCTGGGTAAGTCACTTTCCCTTTCAGAACCTCAGTTTTCTCATTTCCCAGAATGGAGACCTCCTGGGGTAGTTAGGAGAGATGCTCAATAATCAGAATCATTTGGGGGCCCCATACAACCACTTCCCATGCCAGGACAAAATACAGCCTTGGAGATAAGGATAGTGAAAACTAACTCCCCAAACCTTGGGCCTGGAAGACATCACAAATCGACCACAGCACCTTTTCCTTGCCAGCCTGCATCTAGCCTCAGAATCTTTCACAATGCAATCTAAGTAGCAACATAAAACCAACGTCCATCCCTGCCCTAGGTGACGTCTCTTTATCCTTTACAGCTGTAACCTACCTAAGCATGGACAAAGTCCCTTTCTCAGGTTCCTGCCCACTTCCTAGGTTCACTTCAGGAATTGATGCCAGCCACCCAGGGGCTGGAGTCAGTCACTAAGTGATCAGAAAGGGCCCTCTAGGTCATCACCTGCCTGGCTCATGCTCAAGTATATTCCCAACCAGAGTTGTGGACAGCCCCACCTGCATGCCTAGGCCACTCCTGCACTTGAGAACGTCCTGACGATCATTGCTCAGATAGTTTGGCCAACTATCTGCCAAACACTGTGTTAAGAAGTTTACATGGATTTCTTCTCTCATCCTCATTGTGTATGGCAGGAGCTGTTATGCCCATTTCACAGATGAAGAGAAGTAACTTGTTCATTTAACCCGCAGCCTGTCTGATTTCCACTCGGCTCTATTGCATCCCACCCAAGCCATTCTGTCCATACCACCCCAGTGGGCAGCTGGCAGGGATCCAGAGTATGGGCAGGTCCTGGGTCCCTCCCCACTCATGGTATCCACTCAGCTCTCATGTCCTCCTCCCACGCTGGCCCCATCTCTCTGCAGGAGGCCTTTTGTTCTCCAATCTGCAGTCACCCATGGATGCTGGCTCATTGCCTGCCCATGTTTCACCTCCTTCTAAAGAAGGACATTTTCTTAGGACTGGGGTTGACCTGAGGGTAAGGAATAGTACCCAGTGCAGAGTTCTTTCCTCCACCCAGGGGCTGCAAGTCCCCTTCTTGCCAGGGAAGGCAGGGCAGGGGAATGGGCTGCCATCACTGTCCTCTGCAGGGCCCCTGACACCTGGCCCATAATTGGTGAAGGGGCCTCCTCGATTCTTTAAGAAGAACCTCTTTCTAATCTTTTCCAGAAAGCATGAGATCATATAGGATGTGTTCAGGTGGGTGGCTATGTGGGATTGAGGCAAGGAGGCTGTGGCCCTGAGACATGTGCCAGGGGTGACACCAGGGACTGGTCAGGCTATGGTGACTTGGTTGGACATGTCAGGTTAGGACAGAGATACTGATACAATGTGACACCCCAAGTATGTCAGCATCCCAGCTTCTGTAGCTGAAGGGACAGCAGCAGGGCAAGAGGAAAATGGAAGGGGTAGGGGGTCTGACACTCAGCTTGTTGGTCTTCTTAGCCATAGTTTCTTCAAAGTCCAGGGAACTGAGCAGGGCTAGAGTTGGGCTGAAGACCTTAAAGTCTGAGTAGTAGCCTCCCGGCTGCCGGATCGGGCGCACCTGGTCCTTCTGGAAAATGATCTTGTCCCCCGGGTACAGCAGGGCTGTGAGCAGCAAGAGAAACATGGCTTGTCAGGCCAAGACCCCTCCCTGCCCTGAGCATTTGGAGCAAAGGGAAAAGGAAGGCTCTTTTTTTTTTTTTTAGATAAATTTACATTTCTGTTTAAAAAGATTTTTTTCTTGTATGCATTTTTATTTTTTTAATTTTTTTTTATTTTTATTTTTTAGGTGAGGCAACCCTTGGTTGACCTCACAGATTGTAAGGACCTTGTCAGCTTACAATCACTTATTTCTTTGTTTGTTTGTTTGTTTTAGGTGGTCTCCCATCCAAGTACTAACCAGGCCCAACCCTGCTTAGCTTCCGAGATCACAAGGGATCGGGCTTATTCAGGGTAGCATAGCTGTAGACTCTTGTATGCATTTTTAAACTTAATTTTTAAATGATTATAGATTCACAGCAAGTTACAAAAATGGTGCAGAAGGCCTCTTAGACCCTTCTCCAGCTTTTCCCAAGGGTGACATGGTCTTTCTAAGCAGACCTCATTCTATTGCACTTTACTTTATTATGCTTCACAGGTGGTGCGTTTTTTACAAATGGAAGGCAGAACCCTCCACTGGTAAAAAGATTACAACTCACTTACTGGGATACTCGCTTTATCATGGTGGTCTGGAACTGAACCCACAATATTTCCCAGGTATGCATGTAACCGTAGTGTAAGATCAGGAAATGGAGTTGGTACAATACTGCTAACTGGACTACAGACAAGAGAGCTTATTTATAACCAGATCGGCAATGGTCGGGGGGCCGGGGTGCAGTTAGGGTGGAGCATAAGGCCCCATACCCCACTCTGCAGGGGGCATCTTGGTCAGAAGTCCTAGGAGGAAGAGGAAAGATTCATCCAGCACTTCATTAGGTTAACTTAGATCTAGTCGATGGTAATTTTCTCCTTGCCTAGAATTTGTCTCACAGATAACCTTGGGACACTTTCCTAAGAAGTGCAGAACATAAAAACACTGGGTCAGGGTCTCCATTTTCCTGCAACTATGCAGCAGTGCTTGTCCTGAGATGATAACACACAAAGAGCTTATGTTCTAGAAAAAGTGGTGGAAGGTTACACTCCAGGTTATGAATGTTGGTTATTTGAGGAGAGGGCAGAGATTGTGCAGGTGAGAAAGGAGGAGAGGGAAGGGGATATACAGCATCAACATTTAAAAAAGACATATAGGATTTTTTTCAAACTACATTTAAAATATATACATACATGATTTAAAAAAAATGATTTACATAAATAATTTCGTGTGAATGGAAAAGAAAAAGAGGTTTGTGAAAGGACAGCCACTAAAATATTAATAGTGGTCAACTCAGGCCGGGGGGATTTTTATGTTTTCAAAAAAATTTAAGTGAGCAATTATTATCTATAAAATTGGAGAGGAGGGTAGAAAAACAATAAAGCTATATTCACTGGGGAGAGGGGAAATGCCTAATGTTCTAGAATTATGGTCCATGAGCTTGAGGTCTGGAATCTGAGCCTACCAAGCTCTAGTCTAGAACACAGACCTGGAAGTCCCAGTTTGCTCTTTACCCACAGCAGAACAGGCCTCTGTCATAAAGACAGCCAATAGTGGCCAGAACAATGGTCAGAAATGAACTGGAGTCTTTTCCATCTAGACCAATCAGAAGCAAAAGGGAGCCCACCCACGGATGTTCCTGTGTGCTCATGAATGTGAGATCTTACAGACAGGGGAAGCTCCCAGACCCATGCACTGGCAAAAACCAGAGAATCATTAGTGGCTCAGTGTTTTGGAGGAGACAAAGGAGGCACAACCAGAGGAAAGACCTGACCCACAAGAGCAGTCCAGAGTGTGTGGCAAGCCTGCCTACATTTCAGAAGATAGATGTAGCTCCACCACTAACCAAGATGAAAGGATGTAAATGATGAAGGAAGGCGAGGCTCCCTGAGGAAGAAAGAAGGAAAGATGATTTGGTGAAAAGTCAGTGTCCAGAGCTGCAGGATCTTCTGTCTCTGCCCTCCCAGCCCAGGCGGGCCACAAGTGACTACCCAAACCAGGGTACAGCATGTGCAGGAGACAATAACTATTTAGGTTGGTTGCCCTGTGTTCCTGAAGGCCCTTGGCCACATCTCCCTCTATAGACCTGCTATGGGCTGAATTGCGTCCCCCTCCCCCAATGTATATGTCCCCCACCAACTCCTAGAACCTCTGAATCTGTATTTGGAGACAGGGCCTGTCTCCATCTCTCATACAGATAGGGCCATCTGTAAACACAGGATTGAGGCCTCAGAGGCAACCAACCCCACTAGCACCTTGATCTTAGACTTCTAGCTTCCAAAACTGTGAGAAAATAAATCTTCTGTGGTTTAAGGCACCCAGTCTGAGGAATTTTGTTATGGAAGCTCTAATACAAGACCCAAGGCCCTATACATTTAGCGCTTGCTTCCTTCTCTCTTGGGAAAAGGATGGAAATAATCAATTGTGACTGTTAACTCTTGTTCTCATGTAAGTCATACCACTCTCTATATGCCCTTTCTTAGAAAGCCTCATTTCCCAGTATGGCCACAGTTCCCGCAAAGTTCCTATGGGAAAACCCCTCCCCATATGCAGCTTGCCGTTAATGATTTTAAAGCACAGAGAGGCATCTGCCCATTAAATTTATAAATTCATAAATTTGAGGTGTCAATATTGCTCTGTGGTCATCATGGGAATATGGGGGCAATCCTTGTCCCCATCTCTCAGAAACACACACTCTACCCAGAGACGTGGCGGTTTCAGGTCTGCCTGGATATATGAAAACACAATTCTTCCCTCAAGCAGAGGGTGAAACCAGTATGGAAATTCAGTGTCGAGTCCTGTTGTGTGAGTAGAAAGCAAAGGGCCTCAGTGGAACCTGACTCTTGGTACATTCCTACCTCAGCATTGTGAAAGAGCCAAAAGATGTGCCTGACCTAGGAAAGTGGTTCTGGAAATGTCCAACACAGCACAGAGGTTGTCAGTTCTATCAAATCTCCCTCTTTGAAATTGGGATTGTTCCTTTCTGCTCAACTTTGGGGCTCCCTTGCCCAGAACACTGGTCCTTGGAACTTCCTGTACAAAATGCCAACTCACTAAGCTCAGTTGGGGAACACAGACCTCCAGGCTTGTGGAATTTGCAGACTTCCAGGATTCTAGAAATTCTATCTCACAGCAAAACAGGCTGAGCTGTTCTTCCCCTCTTCCCTCTCCTTCTTCCCAATGTCCCCACCACAGGCTGCAGCAGCTTGGCTGGGTGCATGTTGGCTGGGGAAGGACAAACCTCAGGTGGCCACTTGAGGCATCTTTCTAGGGCCAGCCACCAAGGCTCTTACCTTTCACGAGGATGTCCTCCGTCAGTGGGAGGCCGTAGTACTCACAGAGCTTCCAGCACTGCAGGTAGACCAGAAAGTTGTCCCTGCGGGACGTGTTGATGAGCTCATTCATCTCCCCACAGATGGTGGAGGGGAGGCAGTGTTCATCAAAATGCTTATTCCCACTGCGTACCAGGCGGCACCGCTCTGTGTACTGAATGGAGGGGATCTTGAGCTGCAAAGAGA